ACTAAACACAAACAGATAGTTATTATAGTCCAAGACCTCTAGAAACAAGAGCTTAGTTGCCACTGTTAAGTTTATTAACTACTGTTGTTCAGGCTATGGAAAGGGGAAAAAACAGTCTCAGATTTTCTCAAGTTTTGACCTAAACCTAATGCTTCATTTAGTTGCTGGTAACATTAGACATCTTCAAAAATGGGCTTGTGGCGCAGATGAAACTTCACTGGTCTGCACATATTCCAGCTTCCTTACTCAGATCAAACCTTTCAACAAATCAACCACTGTTTCCCACCACATTCCATCCTTTAAGTTTCAAACAAAACAACACTCAATCCTTGATAGCCTTTTCCACAACCCACCCACCCCATCATGCCCCTTTACTTCTCTCATAAATCAAGCAACCCTTTCTGAGGGACCCAATTTCTACATTTTTTGCTCTCAGACTACCCTAAATGATCTAATGAGCAGTGTGGGTTTTTGCTTCTAGACATGTGAAGTTGTGCGGTGGGTTCGGGCCAGTCTGGACTTTGAATCAATGCAGTCTGACCCAGCCACACCATTTCAAAGGGCTAAAACCGCAGTCCGTAACCACCATTAACTCCGTTTGCCGTGTCTGCCACATGTGGTATTTAAACTGAGGCTGAGGGAGGGTCAGTTTGAAGTTTCAAAGTGCGGAACATTCTTTTAACAGCCAGCCAGAAGCCAATTATAGTGGCAGCAGCTTTAGATGGGGTGGCGGATTGGGGGGCAAATAATCTTTCTTAGAGTTTATTTTATGGTTCAGCACTTATATCTGCTTGAGCCTTTTGATGATGAGGCTTTTTACACTGAAATATGTGATGCAACCAGACTAATTTATGTAGTTACATAAATCCCTATTTTTTAGTAGTTACATCAAAAAAGCAGAAGTAATCAAATATGCAGATTTAGGTAATCATGTTTTAATTAATTATTCTAATTTATGATGGTTGATTATTTGGCTTCTGCTGATACTTGCAATATTCAAATCAATACAGTTACAGTCACCCCACTCTGTTGACAAAAAATATGCTTGTCCCCTGAATTATGATTAATGTTACACTGGAAAACGCTTGTGCAGCAGAGGTGTTAAGTGTGGATTTTATGCCTTCCTTATGGTCAGTTTCCACAGAAGCATTTGTGAATTGTTGTGGTTCAAATACCATGAGGCAGGTTGGAAAATATGGATCATTTCTGGCATTTCTATAAACAAAGTTAGCATACTTCATCGAGGCCTGAACCTTCAACACATGTGAACCCACTGAACCTGTAGTAGTCTCTTAGAAATGCTTTCCTATCACACATAAAATATAGGTATACTTAATGAATTCTTGTTAAATACAATTTTACAAAAAAAAAAATACTCAATTTGCCATCATATTTGTTGACTGACCACAAGGCTTCAACTATGGCATCATCGCATCGGATGGGCGGAAGAGAGAAGAGAAGAGAGCTGATGATGTAACTAGAGGAGAAGTGAGAGATGCATGGGCGCGAGGACTGTCAGGAAAATCCCATGAGGAATGCTTCACTGAATCCCACAGGAATGTGGCCATAGAAACCTCTGCGGCACAACAACCAAGCAAATGAGGGCATCCCTCTACCACCACCACCTTGCCAGCCAAACAGAGGAAACTGAACAAGAAGAGACATAAAAAAAAAACCATAGGATTTCCAACTGCTTCATTTCAAGTGTTTACCCTTACAAACAGCATTACGCCTTTTTTGATCCTTGCTAAAGCCTGTGTAAAAAGCCATAAAAGCCACCTGAAGACATCTATTACCAAATTGTTTCTGTTGAATAGGATTGAAACACTTGTGCATGGGAGCTGTTTATTTGTTACAATAAATCAAGTTTCAAGTTCATTTCAAATTCAGGAACTGAATATATATATATATATATATATATATCAGCATCTTGCTATGCCACACCTGTGAGGTGGATGGATTATCTCGGCAAAGGAGAAGTGCTCACTAACACAGATTTAGACAGATTTGTGAATAATATTTGAGAGAAATAGGCCTTTTGTGTACATAGAAAAAGTCTTAGATCTTTGAGTTCAGCTCATGAAAAATGGGGGCAAAAACAAAAGTGTTGCGTTTATAATTTTGTTCAGTGTATATATATACTGTATATATATATATATAAGTTCCCAAATTTGAAATTAACTTGAACAGAAGCAGAAAAAGGATAGCAGAATTGCAGTGGATAGATAGAATCCAAACTATTATTTGTGAAGTACTGTAGAATGCAGTCATAGCAAGTCAAGTTATAGCATGTTTTCCATCTTTTCAGCCTTTTCAGCCTGTTCAATTATCTTGATACATGATCTCTATTCATATATATTCAAACATCCTCGTTTGCTCTTTGCACGAGTCCAAAAACGTTTCATCTATCACATTAGACTAGACAAAGAGCCAGTCCAAAACAAAGACTTGGTTTGGGTAAAACACCAGTACTTTATAGATGTCATATTTTGGTTGAACATTGGTAATTTGAGCACTCAAATTAACTGGTTTAGGAGCAGTCAAGACAGAAAGAAAATGGGATGTTGGAATTGTGTAGCGATAGAAAATTGCTTCTGGCAGCCAGAATATGGCTCTGAAGTATTCAAGCTTCGCTTATGTCTAGAGAACAATAAACAGCCTCCAAATTATGCGCAGAACACCCACCTGCCTCCTAACCCTGACTCTTCACGTCTAGGAAAGTAAAATGAAGTCATGTGACCACACACCCCAGTGACTTCTGTCAACAGGTTTTCATTTCCCCAATGCCTGGAGTCTTTTCCATTACATCATTAGATAGTGACCTATGACATTTCTCAGCAACTGATACATGCATACTGTCGTAGCTAGCCAAATTTAGTCCTGTTTGCTGGTCGCATCACTTCTACCAGTTTTAGAATTGGTTCATCATTTAGAGCCACCTTTAACCAGTTATCCAGCCCACTCTTTAAACAGTTACCTTTTTCCCCTCCCAAATGTTTTACGACATTGTCAGCTTTTCCATCATCCTCTTTTAGAGCAGTGTACCAGCTTGAATAAACTCTATGAGGGGGGTTACAGATATGCTTCTGTTCAAAGAGCTGGCAGAAAGTTGTTTCTGAAATATTCTGTTGGTGGTAAAGTTTCAGTCCTCCTTCATCTTCCTACGGAGGTAGTAAGCATGACATTAAAATTTAGCAGAGCTGAAAGTATTTATCTTTGCTTCACTGAGGCAGGAATGTAGCTGCAGGCACTAAAAGAGCTTAATGCAGTGTATGAAGGTAAGAACACGATTCTTACACACACCTGAATTGTGCCACACACAGCTATGTTTATTTAGCCATCAGACTCTGAGCCCAGTCCATCTTGCTTGTCCACAGAAAACCAACACACGCACAGCACATTGTTAATAACTGACACTCAGTAAGATATTATGCTTATATTAACATAACATATACATTAAACATACATAAACTGATTGAACATGTTCTTTTATCTGTTGAAGGTCAAAAACAGAAACATGTAGATTTTTGTTAATGGCCTCAATTTCACTGTGAATGTAAACACATTTATCTGTTGATGTGAGAAAAAAAACAGGCAACAATTTCAAAATCTCATCAGGGTTCAAGAAAAAAAATAAAAAATAAAAAAACTTTGCTGGCCCATTCGATTCAGTTTAAATTGTACATTGCCACAAAAAATGCTAAATGCACATTTTTAACAAATGTCTTTTAATACGTGCCAGAACAAATATATATTTTCCATTAAATATTACGTTTTATTTACATCATCAAATTGACAAAAAAATATTTTAATGTGGATGAGCTACAGTATAAATTCATAAAATGTCTAATTTAGTCTTATTGCAGCAGTTATAGTCTCACACTGACCCTGTGAGATTTTTTGTTATTAGCATTGTGTTGTAAGCCTACATCTAGCATCTTGATGAACATAATTTGTTCTGTAAGGGGGTTGGGGGGGGATCTGTGTGATCTGTGTTTCAGCCCAGTTGGAATGAGAGGTTGTTGACAGACAGGGCACATTACAATCCTCAACAGACTAGAGTGAAAGAGTGTGTGGACAAGAGAATGAGGAGGAGGAGGAGGGTGGGGTGGCAACAAGAGAGCCTAAAGTGAAGATTCCCATATAAGGCAAGTCTTCCTCTGAGACTGTGTGCATGTAGTAACAGTATGTCTGCTGGCAGGGGGATAGCATTCCTTCACCTCCCTTTCTTCTCTGGGAGTTTTTCATTTCCGATTCGCCGGCTGGCAAGAGGCAGTGCTCCCTTTCATAAGAGTGAGGAGGGGAGTCTGGGGATCCTTCTTTTTTTTGTTGTTGTTTAAAAAAAAAATTATACAAATGCTACAGTCTGCTGCCCTTCTGTCTGCGCACTGTCTGCTGTCTGAAGGAGCAAAATAGAATCGTACCGCACCTGTACTGTAAAACACAGCGTTACACTAAACGTTATTGGCCAGGTGAAAGTATACAATTACAGAAAAAACATAGTGATTAAAGCAACTGCTCAGAATCCAGACAGAGTTCTAGAGCCACAAGAAAACTTATGTAAGATGTGAAAAAAGTGCTTTATGCAAGTCTAATAATAGTAAGTTAATCACAAAGAATTAAGAATAAATATTTTCAACATATGTTTAGCATTTTTTAAAAAGCATACTTTCATATGTACGTTAAATTAAATAATCCACCAAGAAATTAAAACTGTCACAAAACTTACTCCTTCTTCACAAAACTTCTTCACAAAACTTATTCCTTACTCCTGACCTTAATTTGTTCTTCTGTGGAACCAAAATATATATATATAACTGTTTTTATAATGAAAGTCAGTGGTGTCCAAAACAACATAGGACACAACTGACTTTCATTGTATAGACAAAAAGAAAAAATAAATATATTACATATATTTACATATGTCTTCTTTTATGTTTCTCAGAAAAAAGTCAGATTTGCAGATTTGGAAAGACATAAAGTTGAGTAAATAATTACCAGACTTAAACAATGATGTTCATTTAAGGTGAACCGTCCTTTAACTGCATATTGGCCACTTATAAACTAACACAGTCATTATCATCAACTGTCAATCACCACACAGTTATTTAGAGAACAAGGCACTAAAGGCCAAAAGCTAGCCTTATTAAATCTGAAAAACATGCACACATCTATCTCTAAGACAAATTGCTTAAACTACCACCAAGCACTGCAAGGTAATGCCAAGACTGCACTTTTATTTTGCTGTGTGACAGCCCGGGAATGTCGGATGGCAGTGGGTGCAGGTCTAGTGGACGGGGAGAGGGGAGTGGAGAGTGGAGGGGGGGCAGGAAACTAGGAAAGAATGCCAGGAATGCCCATGTTTATCCAGCGTTCCATTGAGGTGGAGGCAGTCCACCGCAGCGTGGCGTGTATAAAGGAAGCTCAGCTGCTGCTGGAGAATCAGAACACTCCAAGTCCTCCAGAGAGAAGCAACAGTCGCTTGACACTGCTCAGCCAAAACTTCATACCGAAGCTAAACTCTAGCTTTCACTCGACACGATCAGGAGGAACTGGATTCAAAGACAACACAACGAGATCAACTTGATCAAATCTGAAGAGAAGACTGCGTTACAGCTGCAAGACGTTATAGGATCCAAAAAAAAAGATTTTTCTTTTTTAAAAGAGATTGGAAAGAAGAGGTCATCATGTTTTCTGGAATGAATCTAAGAGTGCTTGCTCTGCTGTGCCTGACTTTCTGTGGATGGGTAAGTCCTTTTAATGCACAATTATGAGAAAGTGCATAATATAGCATAGAACAGTATCCACTATCAAGTTTAAATGCATGTAGAGATCCAGACTATTAATGACTAGCAAGATCAGGCTATAACTTTAATCTTTTGCCAGACACAAACAGCTCAAAAAAATGCCTAATTTTAACCCTTTGAAAGATATTTTTTAAGGTCAGTGTTGAGAAAATGTACAAAGTCTTACAAGAGCATGTGTTATATTCCTCAGGCTACGGCTCAGGAGTGCAGTGGACAATGCCAATGCCCTGATGTACCACCCCAGTGTTCGCCCGGTGTGAGCCTGGTGCCGGACACCTGTGGGTGCTGCCGGGTGTGTGCCAAGCAACTGGGCGAACTTTGCACAGAGCGAGACATTTGCGACCCCCACAAAGGCCTTTACTGTGACTATGGTTCCCCAAGCAACCGTCGTATTGGGGTCTGCACAGGTAAGGATCTTGACTGTTGGCATTCAGACGCTGAATCTATAGTTGTTGAGTTGAGACAGAGTTGTTAACCACCTTCTGTCCCCATCCCACAGCAAGAGAAGGTGCCACTTGCGTGTTTGGTGGGATGGTGTACCGCAGCGGAGAGTCCTTCCAGAGCAGTTGTAAATACCAGTGCACGTGTCTAGACGGCGCCGTAGGTTGCGTGCCCCTCTGTGGAATGGACATCAGGCTCCCCAGCCCTGACTGCCCGATGCCCCGCAGGGTGAAGGTCCCAGGGAAGTGCTGTGAGGAGTGGGTGTGCGACACCCCTCACCAGAATACCTTTGTGGGATCAGCTTTGGCAGGTGAGCATTCTTTGATCTCAACTGTTCTCCGAGTCAGAATTGTCAAAGTGGTGATTAAATGAGTCATACATATTCAGACACAGTAATGGTCTCCATTAAGGAGGTTGGAATGAATTCCGGTGCAATGATGTAATGATATGAACATTAGGATGACATCATGCAGCTGTAAGGAATGTGTTGAGTAAAGGTCTTGTCTTGTAGCTTACAGAGAGGAGGAGACATACGGGCCCGATCCCTCCATGATGAGAGAGAACTGCCTGGTTCAGACCACAGAATGGAGCGCATGCTCAAAGACCTGCGGCTTGGGAATCTCTACCCGTGTCACCAATGACAACCGCGAGTGCCGTCTTGAGAAGCAGTCCCGCCTCTGTATGGTCCGCCCTTGCGAGTCACACCTGGAGGAGAAAATCAGGGTAAGCAGCAACCTACCTTCCAAACCAATCACAGCACAGCTCACTCTTGGTTCAACTGATGCATGATGATGACGTCACAGAACTTGATGGCCAACTTTTCATTTTATGCTTTTACAGAAAGGGAAGAAGTGTATCCGCACACCACGTGTCTCCAAACCCATGAAGTTTGAGATTTCTGGCTGCACCACTACCAAGTCTTTCCGGCCCAAGTTCTGCGGCGTTTGCACGGATGGTCGCTGCTGCACACCTCACAGAACCGCCACCTTGCCCATGGAGTTCAAGTGCCCAGACGGCCAAGTCATGAAGAAGCACATGATGTTCATCAAGACCTGCGCATGCCACTACAACTGCCCCGGGGAGAACGACATCTTTGAGTCCATGTATTACAAGAAGATGGTCGGTGACATGGCGTAAAGAGACAGTGACAGCAATGCCAAGGAGTTCCATGCAGTGACTGTCCACTTGAATCGAACAGATATCCATCTCATATCTCAGCACAAAGTACTTGTTTGTCTTTTTATGGTTTGTTGCTTTCATTTGACATTTTTTTGCGTGTATGTGTCTGTATCTTGTACGTGGACTCTGGATTTATATGCTGTATGTGTATTCATTTGTCATGGTGGATGTCAAAGGCTACACTCTAAAAATGCTGGGTTGTTTCAACCCAATTTTGGGTCAAATATGGGCTAACCCAACTGTTGGGTTAAATTTTGGTTACATTTTTAAATTAACTTTTTAACCCAACAGTTGGGTTAGTCCATATTTGACCCAAAATTGGGTTGAAACAACCCAGCATTTTTTTTAGAGTGTAGGAGGTGGGGATTGTAAAATGACCGGGCTCTGTTCGGACGCCCCCTAAAAAACAATACTGCACTATAGTCCGACTCTGTGACGCCCAATGTCACTGATTGGCAGATGACGCCAAGCCCCTCCCCTAAACTGTGGTGGGCAGATTCAGATTCTGAGAGAAAAATAGTAAGAAAACGGAAGGCAGCTTTTAACCCTAGAAGCTATTCGCCTCACCAAGCCGAGAGAAGGCAGAAGAAAGAGACAGAGAGAAACTGATGTGCTCTTATATTTAGTTGATTTTGTCAGCTCAGATTTTGATTGAGCTGAAACGAGACATGAAGTTTGGCCAAGAACTATGAAAGTTAATATAGCACTGAGTGTTTGACTTCGACTGTCTGGCCCATCCTGATGGGAGAGCGTCAGTAACCCTGTCAAAAAGACTGGATGAATTGTAGCTTCATTCTATTTTTATTACAGTATCTATTTTTTGAAAGCTGTAAATAATGTACATATTTTGTACAGCTTAAGTTAATTTAAATTCAAAGCATTTGATGTCTTGCTTATTTTCTTGCTTCACCATGTTTAATATTAGCTTCATGTGCTGACTTGACTGTTCTTCTTACAGTTTGTCCAATATTTTATTGAGAAGTGTGACCAAAAAGTTTTCACTTTTGTAGTTTTAAATAAAATATTATATTTTTATATAAACATTGTCATCTTTTGAGTCATTTTCACCCTGATACAGAGCCTCTTCTAATGGTAACTGTACACCCTGATGTCAATCACACATGAACACCATGTTTTCACAAAGGCCTCTCATGTTCATACTTACGTCAATGCCATTTTTACATCACCACTGCAGACCACACAGTTGCATTGTGTGTGCAGTCCATCAAACTCAAGACCACACACATGGTCTTACATGTATGTACACATACATACATAAATACATGTATATAGATAATATATTAAACAGACACTAATGCACACTCTCATTAGCACATAAGGTGTGCACAAGTATTTTTCATGAGGTAAACTGATGCAACTGATATACATTTACAACTGATATCAGTTGTAAATGTATATCAGTTGCATCAGTTTACCTCATGAAAAATACTTGTGCACACCTTATGTGCATTTTACTGTTTTTGAAAGAAGACTCTTAAGCTAACCTGTGTTTATTTGATCAAAAATAAAGTAAAACAATAATAATGTGAAATGTTGTTACAGCTTAAAATAACAGATTTCTTTCAGGATTATTTAATAATTAGAAAATTCTAATGGAAACTATTTAAAATATATATTTTTTTTTTTTGTAACAATCTAAATGTCTTTACTGCACCTTTTGATCAATTTATTGCACCCGTGCTGATTCTGCTGAATAAAAAGTATTAATGTAAAAAAAATAAAACACTTTGGAACATTAGAATATATGTTCTTAATATTGCGCCTAATTGTGTTTAAACACCGAGAAACCAGTCTTAGACTATTGGGGCCCTATTTTAATGATCTAAGCGCATGGTCTAAAGCGCACAGCGCAATTGCGGTTAGTGTGTGTCCGAATCCACTTTTGCTAGTTTAAGGAGGGGAAAAATGGTTGGCGCCCGGTGCATGGTCTAAAAGGGTTGTCCCTATTCTCCTAATGAGTAATGGGTGTGTTTTGGGCTTAACGTGCCATAAACCAATCAGTCTCATCTCCCCTTCCCTTTAAAAGCCAGTTGCGCTCACGCCATGGCGGAATTTGCAAGCGGAAAAAACTGAACTCTTCTCTAGTGAGGGAATGGATCTGCTCGTGCACGTAATTCTGATACATGCAAAGACTATCCTTTATGACATGTACAGTCGTGGCCAAAAGTTTTGGCAGTGACATAAATTTTGTGTTTTGCAAAGTTTGCAGCTTAAGCTGTTGTGGTGTTCATTCACATTGTTTCTAGATTAATGTGTAGAGTGATCAGATGCATTTTAAATAATTGCTAAAAGCTTAATTGGCCAAAAAATTTACTTTTCACACAAAAAAAAACAAATTTCAATGTTTTTTGATCCTGACACAAAATGACCAGCTAACATTAATTGACTAATCATATCAGCAGCACATGTGAAGTGTGAATGAGTACTATTCAGGTGAAATCACTATCATACTAAATAGATTGTAAGAGCAGACTGATTGCTATAAAAGGAGGGAAGAAGCAATTCCAATCATTGTGTTCTTGTTAGCAATGGTTACTTCCAAAGAAACACATGCCGCCATCATCGATTTGCATCAAAATGGCCTCGCATGCAAGGAAATTGCAACAAAGAATATTGCACCAGAAAGAACCATTTACCGGATCATCAAGAACTTTAAGTAGAGAGGTTCGACTGCAGTGAAGAAGTCTTCAGGACGTCCCAGAGTGTCCAGCAAGCGCCAGGACCGTCTCCTTCTGAAGAGTCAGCAGGAATCGTGTCACTCACCACCAGTGCAGAGCTTGCTCAGGAATGGCAGCAGGTTGGTGTGAGAGCATCTGCAAGCACAGTGAGGCCAAGACTTTTGGACAACGGCCTGGTGTCAAGAAGGGAAGCAAGGAAGCCACTTCTCTCCAAGAAAAACGTCAAGGACAGACTGAAATTCTGCAGGAAGTACAAGGATTGGACAGCAGAAGACTGGTGCAAAGTTATTTTCTCTGATGAAGCTTCCTTCCGACTGTTTGGGATATCTGGAAAATCGATTGTTCGGTGAAAAAAAGGTGAACGCTACCATGAGTCCTGTGTTGTGCCAACAGTGAAGCATCCTGAGACCATCCATGTGTGGGGTTGCTT